GTTGTACAAGATTGTGAATGTACTAAATGCCATTGGATTGTTCACTTTAAAATGATTAATTTTATGTGACATGAACGTCACCTTAATAAAAATAATTTTTAAATCATATTTCACACCAGGTATGGTGGCTTGTGCCTGTAATTCTAGCTACTCAGGAGGCTGAGGCAGAAGGATTGCTTGAGGCCAGGAGTTGGAGAGCAGCCTGGGCAATATAGTGAGAATCTGTTTCTTAAAAAATAAAAAAAAATCATATTTCACTATTTTTGTCCCTGTTGATAACATTGTAAACCTCCCCATCCTCACTGCAATAAGCTAGGGGATAATCCAAATATAAGCTCAGTGCATTAAGCATAATGTCATTATTAAGTCAAGCTTCTCAGAATGTGAAGTCTAAGTGTAGTAGGACAGCATTAAGCCAAAGAGGCTGTAAACACTTGCAAGATGCAACCACTCTATTCTGATGGATAGCCCATTTGCTCCACCTGACTCTGAAGGCTTGAACAAATATGACCTCCACCTGTGGGCAGAGAGCAGTTCCTAATAACTGCCTAACAGCAATAAGGTGCAAGACTTCCTTATGGATTGACCTGGAGGAGAGAAAGGCTATTTCCAGGAGGAACAAACCCAGATTTCAGAGATCCGTAGGAAAATATTGCTGGGATTCTGAAATGATGAGGAAGTATAGCAGACTGTGATTCACAAGTTGATATTTGTTAGAAATGGATCTAGTGGTCAGGTCAGAAAAGATGATCTGATGGTAGTAGACCTGTTTCATATTTTTTAATGGTAGGCAATTCGTTTTGCTACATTTAATTGAAGAAAGGACTGAATACGCTGGGTGTAGTGGCTCACACCTGTAATCCCAACACTTTGAGAGGCCGAGGTGGGAGGATTGCTTGGGCCCAGGAGTTTGAGACCAGCCTGGGCAACATGGCGAAACCCCATCTCTACAAAAGAAAAATACAAAAATTTGCTGGGTCTGGCAACATGTGCCTGTAGTCCCAGCTACTCAGGTGGCTGAGGTGGGAGGTTCACTGGAGCCCAGGCAGTTAAGGCTGCAGTGAGCCAGGACTGTGCCACTGCATTCCAGCCTGGGTAACAGAGCAAGACCCCATTTCAAAAGAAAGGTGGGTGGGGTGGGGTGGGGGTGGGGTTGAATATTTTTGCAAATTAAAGAAAATGTTATTTCCTTTTATTTCATCCTACCCTCATTACCCTACTCAGCCTCTTGGTAATTTCTGTATTTGTTTTACATGTATTATCATTGCAAATTAGAACTCAGTGAAGATTTTCATGGTTAGGAGGTCTGAACCTTACCCCTTTTCTATAAATAAGTGTCCTGGGTGATAGATGACAGGATGGGATGTCAATGGGAATGTGGAGATGACTTTTAAGGAATATGACACTGAGACAGGCAGAAACGTGGTCTGAAAGTAGGTGTTAAAGGCAAGGAGAATGCCAATACATGAGGGTCCTGAGACTCCAGGGTCAAAGAGAAGAAGGCAACACAAGAAGTGGCTGCTACCTGTGGTCACGAAGGAAATTCAGGTCATGAGGATGAAATCAGTTTTAGATTAAGGGGGAAAGGAACACTCAAATAAAGATCTGTAAGTGCACAGGAAATTTTAGTAAAATCAATACGGGTTTCAGTGGCCATAAAATAGGTAAGTTAGAGACATAGGCTTGGTTGGGTGGAGTTAAATTGGATGGGACTGACTTAGAAGGGATTGAGAATAAGAGAAGTAAGACGTGAGTGACCAGGAGGGACATCCCCCAGTAACAAGATCACTGGGACTGGGATGGGTTCTTAGCCAATGGAAAAACAATTCTGGGACAAGAGTATTAAACCAATCATTCCCAAAGTTCCAGGTGGAAATGGGGTGTGATGCTGCAGCCCCTTGAAAGGGTGCCTCAGGGTGGAGACCCTTTCCCTGCCAATGGGTTTTAGCCATCATTTCCAGAAAGAATTGGTCACAAAAGCAGTGACCTTGCTGCTGGGGCTCTTCTCATCCCCCAGAGACCTGGAGTCTGAGCAGGGCTGGCTTGGGGTTACAAGTGAAAGTCACGGAAAACAGCTGCCTATGTTCAATGTGGAAGGAGATGTGATTCTTGTAAAAATTGTACTGTGTGATATATTAGAGGAGTTGTTCTCAGCTGAGGTTGATTTTTTTCCTTGGAGTCATTTGGCAATGTCTGGAGACATTTTTGATTGTTACCTGTGGGAGGAGAAGTGGTACCAGAATCCAGAGGGTAGAGAACAGGGATGCTGCTAAACATCCTACATTGTACAGGACAGCCCCTCTTTTAACCCAGCAAGGAATCATGTGGTTCAAAATGTCAACAGTGCTGAGGCCGAGAAACTTTGCGTTAGAGCAGTTTGGATTCAGAGAACCCAGTTGTGGGATATACTCTACTCATTGCTAACTCCGTATCCTTTGAAAAGCTACTCTGTTTCTCTGATGCTTAAAGTGCTTGCCATGCCTACTGTATAGTGGACATATATGATGAATCATTCTGAAAAGGATGACGAGAAATGCAAATGTAATAATTCAGCAGCAGAGGCAGGACTGCAGACCCTCCCCACCAATTCCATGAGGCAGGACTGCAGAAGCCTCTGTGCTGGCCTCCAGTCTCCGGCCTCCAGCCTCAGCCTTTTTTAGTCTATTGTTTGAAATGGAAAGCAGACTTCTTTTTCAGAAATACTACTTTCAGCGTATGTTCAGCTATATGACTTCCCTAATCGGGAATTTGTGAGGTCTCACCATCACCTTCTTCTTTTTTTAAAAATAGAGACAGGTTCTCACTCTGTTTCCCAGGCTGGAGTGCAGTGGCATGGTCATGGCTCACTGTTACCTCCAACTCCTGGTTTCAAGCGATCCTCCCTCCTCGGTCTCCCAAAGCACTGGAACTGCAGATGTGAGCCACTGTGCCCAGCCTCACCATTACCTTCTACATCAAATCCCCAAACTGCCTGGCTCTAAAGTTAGTCATGGTGTGACCCTGTTAAACCCCCTACACCAGTCCCTATCAGGCATGCCTGCTCAGACAGCTGGTTTTCTCCTCGTGGGCCCCGTCTTTGCCAAGACTCTTTCCCTACTTTCTGCTCCCCGATCTCCACTACACTTACCTCTTTCTTACCCATTCTAAGGCTTGGCTCAGCTTTACTCCCTTTATAAAGCCCTCTGCATGTGCTCCAACCCACCTGCCTTACTTTTCCAAAAGTTTTTCACCTAGTAATCAGCCCCATGCAATTTAATATCAACTTATTCACCTTTTTTTTTAAATTTGATTTTAAATTTGGGCTCTCTAATGAGCTTGCAAACTCCTTGATTTTATAATAAGCCCTTTAAAGACAGGTTCATGCTAAGGACTCAACTTGAGACTCACTTTGTGCAAGAAGCTTTTCCCAGCCCTTCCCCTTATGATTCACCCCTGCCTGACGACACCCTCCCTCAAGCCTCCTCCCCTCATGCAGGCCTTTTTCACAGCACCCAGAACTCTTTATAGCACTTTCTGCTTACATATCTTTTCCCACTAGCTAGGCAAAAACTCTAAAGCAGGGACCATATCTTAATTACACTCTGCTCCAGGTTCAATTTTGTCATTCCACTTTCAGATTTTTTAAAATCTGTAAACCATTGAGAACATTTCCATTTAACCTTCTCAGACTACAAAGAGCTTAAATGATGGGCTTTTCACTGTGGCCACCCAAGAGTCATCAAACCAAAACTCAAGAGAAATAGCAGAGCTTTGGAGGTCTAAAAATCTCTGTCTCAGGAAATCTTTTGAAACATGAATCTGAGAACAAACAGAAGTACATCAGCTGTTCCAGGCAATAGACTGATACAACATAAACCTAAAAATCACTCATGAAAATATCACTGGCTAACATATGTTAGAAAAAGAGAAGAAGAGATTCATTTCTCTCTCTGCTTTTCACTCACATGCCTCAGAAAGCTGAAATAACTGAAAGACAGAAGGAATTCTAGAATACAATACTGGGAGTACACAGTATTAACATCAAGAATAAGAATAATTTTTCAAACTAACTTAGGCCTATCTTTATTAAATGTCTTATGATTTTTAGTGTGGGGTGAATATGGAGTCAACTAGAAAAGAATTCATCATAATTTTCTTCATTCAACATAAAAATATCCTCCAAACAAAAACATTTTTGCGTCAACACATAACTATCAGAGCATCAAACCACTGGAAACCATGTCATTGCTGGTACTTACATCTGGGCAATGGGAAATGATGATGTGACTGGCATGGTGGCTCTGTGATGTACTAACCATTGTCTTTGTTATGTTTGGCTTACATATAAATGCTCTTCTAATTTGCATGTATAATTTCCTAAACGCCAAGCAATTACTCACTTTCCTCACACAGCGATTTCTACATGCAGGAATCCCTCCCCTTCACCAGTCTTTCAAACCTCCACCCAGAGATGCGTCAAACAAGGTCCCATTTACCTGCCAAATGCCTGCTCTTAGATTAAATCATACATTTCTAACTAGTCTCAGTATATCCTTACATTTTGTCTCCTTTAAATACTAGTATTTCTCAAAAGATTATCTGAGGATCAGAATCACCTGGGTTGCTTGTTAAAAATGGAAATTCCTGGGTCCACCCAGACCTACTGAATCAGGCTCACTAGTAGTACCAGGAATCTGCATTTCAACAAGTACTGTCCGACAATGCATATGAGTGAGAAGGTTTGTAACCACAAGTTTTTTGGTTTTCAAATTTTACTTTCCTAAAGATTTGAGGCTCATTATCTCGCAACAGTATAGTACAAAATAAAGATGCTTTTGTGGTTACCAAATTCTCAAAATGGACATTCAGGACAAGCTAATATTCTGGAAATAGGAGAAGCTTTAAATGCACAACTTTTTTATCTTTTTAGATGAAGTCTCGCTCTGTCACCCAGGCTGGAGTGCCATGGGGCGATCTCTGCTCACTGCAACTTCCACCTCCCGGGTTCAAGCAATTCTCCTGCCTCAGCCTCCCAAGTAGCTGGGATTATAGGCACATGCCACCACACCTGGGTAATTTTTGTATTTTTAGTAGAGACAGGGTTTTGACATGTCTACCGAGACTGGCCTTGAATTTCTGGACTCAAATGGTCTGCCTCCTTCAGGCTTCCAAAGTGCTGGGATTACAGGCATGAGCCACTGTGCTCAGCCCACAACTATTAAACTTAGCTTCCTAAATGTTCCTCTGTGTGTTGTTGAATGTGTATTTGCTGAGTATAGGAGGAAGGAAGTTTTTCACGCTTCTCTGCAGCTCCTTCCCAGAAGCTAAGAGAACTGGGCTAATACCTATTTAGTGGTATAGAAAATTGCTCAAGCAGAGATTGCAAAGACTTCTGTCTTAGACAGCTGTTCTCTGCAAGCCAAAGTCACATCCTTGGGCCAGGTGCCACGGCTCACCCATATAAGCCCAGCTACTTGGGAGGCTGAGGCAGCAGGATCGCTTGAGCCCAGGAATTGGAAGTTGCAGTGAGCCATGATCATGCCTGGTAGACAGAGCAAGCTCCTGCCTCAACAAAACAAAACAAAAAACAAAGTAACATTCTCCGTGAGGGGGGGGAGGGGAAAAGAGGAGGAGGAGGTGAAAAGAAGAAAAAAGAGAGGGAGGAGAAAGAGAGAGGAGGAGGAAAAGGAAGAGAAAAAGGAGGGAAAGAGAAGAGAAAGAGAGGAGAGAGATCAAGTCCAGGGCTGAGGGCTGATTCCAGCAACCACTGTCCATGAGAATTATTCCTGCCTAAATGAGTCCTCTATACTCAAATTCCTTTTGGGATCTTGGTATCTCACAATGATACATAAACTTTGCTGATATTATCCTATGTAAGTGGTTCTTAAGCAGGGGGAGTTTCTCTTCATCCCCACCCCAGTGGGGACATTTGGCCATGCCCTAGACATTTTTGATTGTCACAACTCCGGGGGTAGGGTGGGGAGGGACTAGTGGCAGAGGGGGCATGTAGCTACTAGTATCTACTTCTTAGAAAATAGAGATAGTGCTAAACCTCCTTCGATGCTCAGGATGGCCCCTGAAGATAAACAATCATTCAGTCCAAAAGGTCAGTAGTGCAAGGTTGAGCAGCTTTGTTCTACTCGATATTGTCTTGCCTGATCAGCCTGATGTGTGACCCTGGTCATTCCGTATCTCCCATCCCACTTTCTTTGCTATCAACTGGAACGTATTTCTGTTTATGTCTTCCATCCACAAATTTAATGCCTTTTACATTTTAATTCAGCATTTATTATGCACCGTGGCCACACTTTTGCAGTTCAAGGTGTTAGAGCAAAACTAGCACACATTTCTTTATTCTCCTTCAAAATGTCACTCATAGAAGATTCATTTTTATTATTAATCTCAGCAACCTCATTGTATGAAGTCTTTTCTTATTAAGTTGAGAACTCTTACCTTTTCACTTAAAGGAAGCACTTTACAACTTCTCTTTGGCATGACTGAATTTCCAGAATTGCTACTCTTGCGCCTTGGGGCCATAATGCAATAAAACAAGGGTGACTTGAACGCGAGCACTATGAGACCTCAACCATTGATCTGATCATCAAAACAGCTGCTAAGTGACTAAGGTGCAGGGAATGTAGACAGCATGGATACACTGGACAAAGGGAGGATCCGTATCCTGGATGGGAAGGAGCAGGATGGTGTGAGATTTCATCACACTACTCAGAAAAGTGTGCAATTTAACACTTTCTCAAAGTTTCCATTTAACATTTCCACAGTTGCAGAAAGTGAAGACTTAGGTAAAGGGGATCTATTGTATATTGTCTCATGAGCAACTTAGGGTACAATAGAGGCTCAGCCTTGTATGTTTGCTCTCCTCCAGAAAAACTTAGAGGTATTTTTCTCCATTTTCTTCCTTTTAAATTTTTTAAATTAATAAATTAACTGATTCTTGAGACAGGGTCTTGCTCTGTCACCCAGGCTGGACTGCAGTGGCACAATCAAGGCTCACTGCAGCCTCAACTTCCTGGGCTTAAGCCATTCTTCCACCTTGGCCCCCCAAGCAGCTGGGACTACAGGCAGGCATGCACCACCATGGCCAGCTAAATTTTGTATTATTTTTTTGTAGAGAAGGGGCTTGGCCAAGTTTCCTAGGCTGGTCCCAAACTCCTGAGCCTCACAGAGTGCTAGGATTACAGACGTGAGCCACCATGGCCCCCTTTTTAGATAAGCTGATTTTTAGACGTCTCATTGAAGAACTGAGTAAAATAATAAAATTCCAAGTAATTCTTATAGTTATTTTTTTAATTTACCCTTGAAAGAGATCTTGATAGTTTTATTGATATACTTCTCTGACAAACATTTTCTGACCTGGCCTTCTAAATGTAGCTATTTGGTATGGATCTGCAGACCCTATAGTGGTGGTGGACAGGAAGTGTTCAGGAGAGCGCAGAATTGGAGGGCAAGAAAGGAAAAGAGTGTCATACTCTGGTGATCACACCATGCTTTTATAAGACGCGGATTACCACAACAGCCACAAAATTTTGTTTCATTTTTTTTTCTTTGGAGGGAGGGGATAAGAAACTAAAATGAATATTCTATTTGACAACGCTTGTTTCAGACTTGAAAAATTCATCATGTACAAAATGCCAACCCTCAAATAGGACAGTAGACTACCCAGGATTATGGATAATTTAATTCAGTATTTATGCCCATCCCATGGTGAGGAGTCACAGATCAAAAGTGCTACATTCTCCCACTTTCCTGTAATATAATAGCTATAATTTATTTATTATATTATTAATCCTTTTAATGTATTTTCTTATTAATATTCACAGTAATTCTATTAATATTATTACCCAAATTTCACAGTTCTAAGAAGCACATTTTCCCACCACTGAACGTTTCTGAAACCAGGATGGATCATACAGTGTCCCATAGTCATTGTCTGCAAGACAGCAGCTAGACACTGATTGTCACTGCCCATCAGCAAATTTGGTTGTAACTTTTTGTGGCATGAAAGTAGCAGCATCAAAGTATGGCTTGAGGAAAATCTTGGAGGCAGTAATAGGGTTGTTTTGTAGGAACTAAGCATCATTCAATGTTCTTGACGGCATAGAAGCCAATATTATATAGAAAAGCGGGGACATCAGTGACTGTGAGTCAAATTCAGAAAAGTCTTTCTGGGCAGATCACCTGAGGTCAGGAGTTTGAGACCAGCCTGGCCAACATGGTGAAACCCCATCTCTACTAAAAATAGAAAAATTTGCCAGACGTGGTGGCGCATGCCTGTAGTCCTAGCTACTCAGGGAGGCTGAGGAAGAAGACTCGCTTGAAGCCAGGAGGCAGAGGTTGCAGTGAACTGAGATGGCACCACTGGACTCCAGCCTGGATAACAGAGTGAGACTCCGTCTTTAAAGAAAAACAAAGGTCTTACTATGTTATATTTGAGGAATACATTAAGTAATTTATTTTGCTAAGATTTTTATTTTTATCTGTGCGTTAGGGTGACATATAATTAAAACCTGTCAAAATGCATTTAAGGAGCGCTTTCAATAAGTATGAAATAAAAATTCCACATTACAAAAAAGCATTGTGTCTTAATGGCAGTGTTTTATTTTTACTTGTACATGAAAAACAAGGAGTCGTACAATATATGAATTATTAGATTCAATGAAATAGGGTATTATCCCATTCCTGTCCATAAAGAAAATGAACCTTAATGATATTATCTTGTGCAAGGTCACAAAACTATTAAGTGACAGAACTAGGATGTGACCCTAGGTCTCCCAGACTCCAAAACCTGTGCTTATTTTCCACGGCATTGTATTGAACCTCTACTGAATTTTTATTAAAAATCACAGACCTGTCTGTTTATTTTCACTAACATTTTGTGGATCTAGAATGAGAACTAACTGATGTTTTTTTTTAATCTTCCTAAGTTCTTTTACAATGTGATACATGAACTCAATAAATGTATTAATAAGACTTTTGCTTTGTGGAAGCAAAAATTTAACTTGGAGCTTGTCCAAACATTTTGAAACTTTTAAGTTTCAAAAGAAGGAATCAACATTTATTAAGCTTCAGTTAGGCAAGGCATAGTGGCTTACTCCTGGAAGCTCAGCAATTTGGAAGACTGAGGTGGGAGGATCATTTGAGGTCAGGAGTTCGAGACCAGCTGGCCAATATGGCAAAACCTTGTCTCTACTAAATATACAAAAATTACCTGGGCATGGTGGTGTGTGCCTGTAATTCCAGCTACTAGGGAGGCTGAGGCAGGAGAATCTCATGAACCCAGAAGGCAGAGGTCACAGTGAGCTGAGATGGTGCCATTGCACTCCAGCCTGGGTGACAGAGCAAGACTCCATCTAAAAAAAAAAGCTTCAGCTACATAGGGCATTTAAAGACAGGTATTATCAGCTCCACTTTACAGATGAGGAAACAGAGTCACAGAATTTAGATAATTCATCTAAAGACAACTGCTAGGAAGCGGCAAAGCTGGGACTGAGTTCTTTTGACTGTGAGTGTGGATTTACCTCCCCAATATGCAAAAGCAATAAAATATATTAACTCATCATTATTAAATGCTACCAAACCAAAGTTACATGTGTCTGTCAAGGAAGAATTTAATGCAAAATTTTTTCCTTTACATTTACTTCTTTTATATTGTACTGTTTGGTGTTAAACAGCAGAGCTTCTCAGGCAACCACAGCCAGACATAAAACTAACCCATTACTAACTCCTCGGTGATACTCATGTGAGGTTTATTTTTTTTCCTTCAAATTTTTGTCTTTGGAGACAGTCTCACTCTGTCACCCAGGCTGGAGTACAGTGGCACGATCTTGGCTCACTGCAACCTCCGCCTCCCAGGTTTGGGTGACTAGTGCCTCAGCTTCCCAAGTAGCTGGGATTACAGGTGCATACCACCACACTTGGCTAAGTTTTTGTATTTTTAGTAGAGATGGAGTTTCACCATGTTGCCCAGGCTGGTCTCAAACTCCTGGGCTCAGGCAATCTGTCCGCTTCAACCTTCCAGAGTGCTAGGATTACAGGCATGAGCCACTGTGCCTGGCCTTATGTGAATATTAATGCTGCATTAGGTTTCTTAACATCCCTGCTTCCATCGACAAAGAAGCAATTTCACACTATGCTCTGATTAGAAGCATTGGAGATGTCCAATGAGCCTTTAAAGCAGGGGTTCCCAACCTGGGGGCCACACAGCAGCAGGTGAGTTCACATTTCAGAGAAGTCAGAAGTGTTACTGAGTTCATATTTTAGAGAAGTCAAGCTATTTATTCTTGTATAAGTTATTATCAGATTAAACTTCAAAAACCTTTATACTTCTAGATTGAAAAGTACTTTTAGGTTGGGCATAGTGGCTTATGCCTATAATCCCAGCACTTTGGAAGTCTGAGGCAGGAGGAGCTGTTGAGCCTGAGAGTTTAAGACCAGCCTGGGCAACATAAGGAGACCCTGTCTCTACAACAAATTTTTAAAAATTAGCTTAGTATGATATGCATGCCTGTAGTCCTAGCTACTTATGCGGCTGAGGCAGGAGGATCGGTTGAGTCTGGGAGGCCAAGGCTAGATGACATAGCGAGACCTTGTCTCAAAACAAAACAAACTTAGAAAAAAAGTTGACTTTTACTTACATAAAATTGTCAATATTTAAGAAGTAAATAGTAAAATTTAAGAAGGTGTTATATAGTCAAATTTCATTATTGTGTTAATGCTCAATGATACATGCCAAATGAATTATTACTGTACTGAACAGGTGAATTTACAACAGAACATGTATAGCCTACTTGTACTGATGAGTCATGATTTTTAAGTTTTCATTTATAATGTGTATCAATCAGTCACTCTGTGATGACTAAATTAAAATTGGTAAAAGACATTATAGCCATTAATAATGGGGGAAGAAATTATGATTTTTTGTTTGTTTTTTTGAGAATCTCACTCTTTCACCAGGCTGGAGTATAGTGGCGTGACCTCTGCTCATTGCAACCTCCATTATTCTGGTTCAAGCGATTCTCCTTCCTCAGCCTCCCAAGTAGCTGGGACTACAGGCACACACCATTGCGCCCAGCTAATTTTTGTATTTTTAGTAGAGACAAGGTTTCACCATGTTGGCCAGGATGGTCTTGATCTCCTGACCTTGTGATCCACCTGCCTCGGCCTCCCAAAGTGCTGGGATTACAGGTGTGAGCCACCTTGCCCAGCCAGAAATTATGTTTTATGCTCTATTTTTTACTCTACCCAGATCACTACAGAGCAGGAAGCTCTGGAAAAAAAAAAAAAAAAAAAAAAAAAAAGGCCAGAGTGCAACCCAATAGTCTGGTCTGTGCCACACTTACAGGGATGGATATGCAAGTATTGTGGTAACTCTCAAGGTCAACAGGTGGCATGAGAAGAAACTGCTTCTGAGAAAGTGTTAAGGATAGTGTCAAGACAGTTCAGGAAGTTTATATGAAGGGCCTACCATTAGCCCAGCATGTCGAAGTTGAGAAGTGCATTAATTCATTCTTTATTCACGCATCAAATATATCCTGGACATCCATTGTGTGGAAGACACCTTGTGGGAAGCCATCACTGCTGAAGATATTAGCTAGTAGAGAAAACTTAGTTGTCCTACTGTCTACACAAAAAGGTTGAAAAGGACTGAAAAAGACCAGTGGCCTATTTCTTTCTTACCAAAGGCTAGGCAAAAAGCTTTGCTTATCAATCATAGTGGCATATTAATAGGGTTTTAAGCTTTTTTTTAAAAAAAATTAGTTTTTTTTTTTTCTATGATTTGAAGCTCATTTTTTTCTTTGTATCTTTTTCTAAAATTTAAACTTTTTTTCCTTGTTGCTACTATCTGGTCAGTTATACTGCTTAAGAGATAACAGAATTCACGTTATCTCAAGAGCGAAGGTCATGCTGATTGTGTTGGGGGGCCTTTCCCAAGGGAAATCTTTTTTCTCTCATCCTCACTTCCGGTAGCTATTCACAATAATTTAGGACATGTTATATGAGTGAATATTTAATTTGGAATAAATATAACTCCTAGTAATGTATACAAAAGATTTATGAAGTGAGAGAAAATACTTATGATTCATTTCATTTCTTCCATGGTCATAAAATTAAAATATATTTGTGTATAAAGAGTATTTAAACTTAAAAAAGCAAATAACTGGGTGTAGTGGCTCACACCAGTAATCCCAGCACTTTTGGAGGCCAAGATGGGCGATTGCTTGAGCCCAGGAGTTGAAGACCAGTCTGGGAAATATGGTGAAACCCCATCTCTATTAAAAATACAATAATTAGCCAGGCGGGGTGGTGCATACCTGCGGTCCCAGTTTCTTGGAAGGATAAGGTGGGAGGATTGCTTGAACCTGGGAACCAGAGGTTGCAGTAAGCCAAGATCGAGTAGCTACACTCCAGCCAGGGTGATAGAGTGAGACCCTGTCTCAAAAAACAAAACCCAAAAAACAACAAACAAAAAGCGAATAATTCAGCCCCTTTGCTTTTGTCTATATTTGGTATGCTGCCTATTATTTACCTGAGAAGCAAAACAAACTGGATATTCCAACTGAAAACGTGACTGTTATGACTCATAATTCCTGCTTGACTTCAAATCCTATTGTCTTTTGATTACCTCATTGGAATTATGTGAATCACTTTGTCTTCTGTGTGTTGTCTAACTAGAAACAGCCTCCTGGTTTCTCCTGAGATTGCTTCCTTTTTGTTGTGATCAGCATCACCATGACACTGCAACAGGGTGATCACATTCCAGAACAGTGGATGGTGTACTGAGCCAGGAGCCTGAATTAGGAATAGCATAATTCCATCCTATTCCTTAAATGTTAGATGTGCATCTACTCAGTATAATGCTCAGTAGAGTAGTCCATGGTCTTTTAAAACTTTGCAACTTGGCAGAGGATTAGAAAATATAAGGGAACAGCTGAAAAAAATGGGCCAGGGTAAAATGTTTAATCTTCAAACTTTCAGTGTTAATCAGGCCCCTCTTAAATTGAGAAGAGGACTGACCTAAACCTAATTATTTTCCCTTTTTGGGATAGAAAAATCCTAAGATCGTTCCCAGGGCTTGAGGCTATCACCAAGAGCTGCTTGGAATTTCTGAACTCTTTTAAGATCTGGTCTAATTAGCCAGGCGTGGTGGCTGCCAGAGCCTGCAGTCTCAGCTACCGGTGTGTGTTGGGGGTAGAGAGAGGATAAAGTGGGAGGATAGAATTGTTTGAGCATGGGAGTTCAAGGCTGCAGCGAGCTATGATTGGGGGCCCCTGCACTCCAGGCTGGGCAACAGAACTGAGACCCAAGATCTAGTCTACATTCCTCAAATGATTCACAATGCCCAATGTTTTTCTTTGTAAGCAGGACTTAATGTGGTAACAGAGTCCACTAAAGCCATGAATGAGAAAGAAGGCGAAGTCTTGTTCTCCTTGTCCAGTGTCTTCCCCCTCAGTGCTGTGAGAGCATTATTTGTTAATGGAGCATCATGTTTGGGTACAAGGGGAGGTGAAGGGAAGAAGGAAGGAAGGGGAAGGGAAGGAGGATGACTAAGGGTACTTCAGTGGTTCAGAAAGAGGTGGAAGATTTACCTGTTGGCTACGGGCCTGTTAGCCTACTAGGTGCAGATGCTGTTTGTGGTCATGAAAAGCTTAGTCATCTTGCAAAGGTGCACATGAGGCAAGACTTTTTTTTCCTATATCCTTTCTGTATTTTCTGTCAACACCAGCTGCACACCAGAGATGTTCTAGGCAGGTTAAAACTGGCGTGCGATTATATCTGATTAGTAAAGAGTTAATGAGTTTATGGCAAAATTGTGAGTGACTTAAGAAAGTCAGCTGCAGCATAAGCTTCCTAAGCCACTTATGCAGGATGTTTAAGGACAGTTTAACCTGTTGGAGAATCATTACAAGGTATATACCACTCTATCCCTTTCCTTACCTCTTGTAAGTTTCTGTGGCATAATGAGACTTCATTTTTATTTCAGTGTATATATTTGTTGGAGTTACTAATAAAATAAGAAATTGCAAGAGGAAAGGGCAGGGCGTGGTGGCTCATGCCTGTAATCCCAGGACTTTGGGAGGCTGAGGTGGGTGGATCACAAGGTCAGGAGATCGAAACCATCCTGGCTAACACAGTGAAACCGTGTCTCTACTAAAAATACAAAAAAAAAAAAAAATTACCTGGGCATGGTGGCACACACCTGTAGTCCCAGCTACTTGGGAGTCTGGGGCAGGAGAATAGCTTGAACCAGGGAGACAGAGGTTGCAGTGAGCCAAGATCACGCCACTGCACTCCAGCCTGGAAGACAAAGCAAGACTCTGTTTAAAAAAAAAAAAAAAGAAATTACAAGAGAACATTTTTTTAAAATTCAGATAGGTTTGAATAGACAAAGAAAGAGGCATTTGTTTAGGGATGAGAGGTGAGTGGGTGGGGGGTGTATGCCCCCATATGTTCATTTGTGGAATTTGTGATGCATTTTTGGGGAGGAAGAGTCCTGGTAACCATTAAGAAATGTTTCTGCCAGACACATTTGTTTTCCTAGAGTGTTCTTAGGAGAATAGTCTGAGAATATTTTGGTCTGCTTCCACTTAGCACCTGAAATATACAAATCCTGAATGGAAAAGGCTCACATTGTATAATCCCCTATACAACTCAAGTTTTACCCAGAATCAAATACAGAAACCTTATAAAGAAATGTGAATTTAAAACATTAACTATATTATGTTATTTCCTCTATTCCCTTCCACCTCCCTCCATGTAAATAAAATTGGTAACATCACAAACAGTAGTCATTCTTTTGGTAAATATGATTCATGTTTATAGCAGACCCTTGTGAAATGTCATTTCATACTACCTAATTCTCACAGCTGCCTGAGGCTGGTGGTTGAGAGATGATTATCCTCATAATGGGATGTTAGATTAAATCTGTTATCACTCTGGCCACTAACATACATGTATACTGATGCTGTCCGAAAATGACTGGTCAACCTCACTTGGCTTTTATGATCTGTAAGGTAATCCTTACCGTTCCTATCAGCGTGTGTCTGCCAACGTTTTCTTTGTCTCTATGTCTGCTAAGTCAAAAGCTATATACATTTTATATATATGTCTGTGTATTCATGTATAGATCTTTTGTGTCTACATATCTATGTAGGTCTATGACTTTTTTGACTCAAATTCTTGCCTTTTATATCCATTCTTTAGGAATCAAATCTGATGGCTTATTATCTATACATATTTGTTTTTCATTGAATATAGAATAGTTGTCTTCCTTTTATCCACCAAATTAATATCTTATGAATAGACGAGTTGTTTAACAGTCATTGTTATTGAAAATTAATTTGGTCTTGTTGATAGTGACCGAAAGCATGAGCTTCACTCTCTCTGACCCAAAATAGTACAGTCATCTCTCTGTATACTTGGAGGATTGACTCCAGGACCCCTGCAAATCCCCAAATCCCCACATGCTCAAGTCCAGCAGCCTGCCCTGTAGAATCCCCGTATGTGAAAAGCTTACCCTGTGTATATCAGGATTTCCTATCCCAGGAATACTGTATTTTCATTCTGTTCTTGGTTGAAAAGAATCACATATAAGTGGATCAGCGCAGTTCAAACCCATGTTGTTCAAGTGGGTTCAAAAGTGTCCTGGATCTTTATGGCCTTTTGGTGTAGAAATGTGCCTTGCTCTTCTTGCTCCTTGTAACATGATGACATCTTGGCTTTTACTAGAGTGTCGTTTATGGCCGTGGTAGAAGCTCTTAGTCTAGCATTGGGTCAAGAATAGGAATAGAAACTTCCAAACATGGCAAGGCCATCTTTGAGATTTCTGGTAGGATGGCCAGAAGGTGGAGTAGATGGAGTTTCTACTTTTCTTGGGAAAATTCTTTCAGCTAGTTCTCCTCTCCCCTCTTGCCAGAGGTTGGGGGAAGCAGGACACTCTTCTCTCCCAGGGGAAATGTAGCAATTTTTTAATTATAAAAGAACAGATTCCTCAGAACATATCCTCGTAGAGAAAAAAATGACTTTACCTATTAGATAAGTAAAATATATCCTGTTCTAATATATAAACAGCCATATTCTAATAGGTCAGAACTATTTTTCTCTATTTTACAAATGAGGTAGGGTAGACTCAAGTTAAATTTTGTACTCAAGATTACATAGCTATTATATATTATTGCAATTTTTGTAGTTAATTGAA